AAAAACTGAATTTACTCATCCAATAACTGCCACTGACGCTTAAGCGTGGTGGCGCTTAGGCGCGATGTTTAACCGACACTTAAATGCCAGATCTGGCGCCACTTTTGCGCATTTTTCACTTATTTGCTCCAAATTTGATCATTTTTCACTCCTTTAAGCATTTTTCACATTTTTATTTGTACCTGAAAGAAAAACATAAAAATACATTCTATTAAAGCGCAATATCTCAAAAGTAGGTATAAAAATATGTCTAAAAATATTATATGTTTTAGGCTTATCAGCACCACTTAAATTAGGACCTTAGTGCTATTAATGTGATGTATGTGTGTCATAAGAAATAAGAAAATACGAGAGCATGCATAAAGCAAAAAAATAAAAAAAATTAATTTTTTTTGGCTTTTCTAATGCATAAAATAAAAAATAAAATAAGGAAAAAAGAATACAACACAATGATTTTTAAGTAAAAACCCTAACTTTCAACTAAAATCTTCATAAAATTAGAAATTCAATGGTGTTCGTTGACAATGACACCAAAAACTTGATATGGAGCAAGTACTGCGAAACACCACAAATATATATAAGTATACATGTCGATCAAGTAGTATATATAATTAAATTCATGTATCTATCCCATAATGAAAGTGTGAACTCCCAAAATTTGAAAAAGTTATAATATATTGATTTGGAGTCTAGCTCGAATGTTCAAATTTTGGTGATTTAAAAGTTTCTAATCCTAATTTTATAAAAAGTAAGACTTATAACTACTTTTGAGTTTGAATAAGTGTTATAATACCTCCCTTGAATTGGTCATACGCAATCCGAATCAATCTAAGTGGCTTTAATGAAGTTGACAATCAATAACAATTCTTTTCCTTAGCTCCTCCTAGTGGTCTTAAGAAAATTTTGTTTCAATATTACAATTATTCCCCTAACCTTGCAAAAACTTCAGTGTTCACAAACTTTCCTACGTGATTGCACCATCTTAACAATAATATTCCTATTCTCTCATAACAGTATAGGTTAATCTAATTGTTCCACTAGGTTATCCCCATTGCTCATTTTAACATCTTAACTTATCAATTTAAGGGTAAATTACATGCAAAAGGTTAATTAATCAACTTAAAATCTAAATCACTCACAATCACATAACAAAAACAATACTAATTTGCATATAATCAAATTTTTAAAAAAATTAAGTTATACTTATAAAAGTCAAACACAACACAAATTATCATACAAATAACAAAATAAACAAAGTTAAAACAATCTCACCATTATTCTTCACTGAAATACATGAAGTTACAATACAATCTCTAAATTTTCACCCACTTTGAGTACAATAATTCTATCACACACTTGTTCTTTCTCTAGAGAACTCTCACAAACTCCCACACTCTTCCAAGAACCCTCTCGGTGAAGAGTGATTGAAGGCTACAATAATTCTCTAGCGACTCCATTTGGTCTTTATCATTTTCCTCTCAGTGTCACTCCAAGGGTTAAGCATTGAAAAACAGTAGAGGAGACATGCCCTCCCTCGACTTCAAAAAGTTCATCCTTATAACTGATATGGACTAAGTGCAACGAAGAACTGATGAATCATATAAGTATACATGTTGTATTAGTAATATATGAAATTGAGCTACATGTATCAAACCCACGGGTAAAGAGCCAAATTCTAAGACAAAAAAGTTCTAGTTTACTATCGTTGGTTCTAGCCTAAAGGGTTCAAGTTTACAAAGTTCGGAAACATTTCTATCCTAATT